CTCCTCGCCCCGCCCGCTCCCCCCCGCCCTGTCCTGGGAGAGGAGGCTGCGCTGCAGGGGAGCAGGGAGATGTGGAGGCAGCTTCTGCAGCCACAGTCCCAGCAGCAGGGGAGGAGCTGCCCCGGTGTCTCTGCTCCGTCTCAGGGGCTCAGGACCAAGGCAGGTCTAAGCCAGGAGCATGAACCAGACACCACAAGTCTGATATCTGTGCCCCTTTCCCCTGCAGAGACTCTGCCGTCCACCTTGGAGAAGGGCAAAAGGGTACCAAAGGGTAAGCGCTGGGGAGCTGGTCCCGGCATTAACACAATGATCCAGCAGAGCCCACGGCCAACCCTGGACAAGAGTCAAACCCTCTCCTAGCCCAGCACCATACCCCCCGCACTGGGACCTGGGGCGCTGGGCTGGGATTTTCCTATTCTTGCCTATGGATTTGCAGCTACCTGTTCCCTTTCCCCTGGGGCAGGACTCTCCCCCGTGCCAGGCTGAGGAGCTGCGGGGCCATTGGTGCTTAGCCCCTGGACCCAGGGTAGAGGCAGCTCCGGGGGCCCAGGACGGTCGGAGAAGAACGGGGCTGGTGGGGAGGGGGAGGAACGGCCCGTCTGCCCCGGGCTGAGCTCTGCCCTGACGCTGCCATTCTTTCTGCCAGCGACGGTGACTCTGGATCCGGACGCGGCAAATCCCTACCTCGTCCTGTCTGTGGATCGGAGAAGTGTGAGATGGACAAACAAACGGCAGCCTGTGCCCGACAATCCTGAGAGATTTGATGTGGACTCATGTGTGCTGGGCCGGGAGAGATTCACCTCTGGGAGACACTGCTGGGAGGCAGAGGTGGGGCAGAGGGACTGGGCCCTGGGGGTCACCAGAGAGTCTGTGAGGAGGAAGGGAGGGATCAGATTTAGCCCCAAGGAGGGGATCTGGGCAGTGCAGTGCTGGGGGGATCAGGTCTGGGCTCTCACGGCCCCTGCTCCCACCCGCCTGTCCCTGCGCCGGGTGCCCAGGAGGGTGCGGGTCTGTCTGGACTGTGCGGGGGGGCAGGTGTCGTTTCTCGATGCTGACACCGAGGCCCCGATCTTCACCTTCCCGCCGGCCTCCTTCGCTGGGGACAGAATCCGGCCCTGGTTCTCGCTTTGGGCGACGGGGCCTGGGTCCGAGCTGAGACTGTGCCATTGAGTGATGGGGAACAGCCGGGGAACGGACCCCCCACGTGGGGAAAGGGGCTGATCTGGCTTCCTATTCTCTACGACCCCGGAGTAGTCCCAACTACCCACCCCCGTCCCCTCCTCTCTGCCCCGGGAGCTGCCCATGTGAAAGATGCCGACAAGCCCATCCCGTTGCACTGACCCATCAGTCCCGGCACTCGTTAGCCCTGGGGGAGTCGAGCGCGGCCACCAGCACGGACCCTTGAGGACGCCGCCCCAGCGATGACTTTGAAACTCGTGCTGAGCTTGGGCCTGCTCACAAAAGTGAAAATACAGAGTACGGATGCTAACTGCATGTTGCAAGAGGATGCGAGGTCATGGCGAGGCCATCCGAGAAGGGATAATGAAGTATCTCCTCAGCTCATCTTGCTCTATTTAGGGTGATTTCAGGCAGACTCCTTGCTGTCTGGTGTGTAACCATATGAGATGTCTATCCTTGATTAATTAGTATGGTAAATATTTCTTTTGCAATTAGCTCATGTTTATGTGCAGGAAGAGACATTCCCCGTATGTGGTAGATGTCTCCTCCTGATTCAGTGTGTTTTTCCTGGCTGTTAATCAGTTTCTTGATATGTTTCAAACCGGATCATCTCTTGTTACCGAAGAAGGTAACTCTTTCACATTAGAAAGTTCTGACAACCAGTGATGAGCAGGATAAGTAACAGTTTTTTCCCGTCAATTATTGCTTCGGACTCTCTTGATTTGCACAACCAAAAGAATGTTTGAAGATGCTAAACTAAGGGGAGAAAAAGGCAGGGAAGCAGCAAACAGCGCGCGCTTCAAGAGTGAGAAATCTCTCTGACTCCAGTTGCTGATGTGCCCGACTTACTCGAGAAGTTGAAGAGAAACAGACCGCTGCTTCGTTGCTTGTTTGGTGAGAAATCATCACCTTATGGCTAATTACTGGACTTTGCTTTGGCTTGGGCTCAGTTGACTTGATTTTAAATACTTGTAGTAAATAAATGCTTTCTGTCACTCATCGAATGAGGTGTCCTGTCAATCCCTGGGCTAGTCCGCAATCCTAGGTTTTTATTTGCTTACACCAGTGTTGGGGCTCAGGGCCAAGTGCTGCTGGGGGCCCTTTGCCTCTAGCATCCCGGAGGAGTCCCCTCAATCCGCCACTGTCCCCTCCTTTCTGCCCCGGGGAGCTGCCCAGTGCCCAGTCTGCACCGACAAGCCCGTCCCGTTGCAGCAGGCGGCACCAGGCCGGTCTGTCCCAGCACTCCGTGGGCCGCCCAGGGCTGGGGCTCAGGGCCAAGTGCTGCTGGGGGCCCTTTCCCCAGAGCCCTGCGGGGGGTGGGGGTGGAGGGCCGCCTGGGCTGGAGCCTGAGCCCATCCAGGCGCTGCCTGTGGGAAGCTGCTGGGCTGGTCTGTGCTTGAGCTGGGTTTTCCCGTGCAGCAAAGGCCCCTGGCCTGGGGCTTCTCCGAGCTGGAAGAGTTTCACTCAGGGCAGGCGCCCCCCTGCATCCGGCTCCTCCGACACGGACGGTTGCCTTGTACGGCCCAGCCCTGCGCCCCTCGTGGCTTCATGTCCACAGAGATCTCAATAGACATCTCACCTGGGGTTTGCAATGGCTTTGTCTCTTGGGCCTTCACTCCCCCTCTTCTCTCCCTCCATCTCCCCTGCGCTGGCTCCTTGCTCGGGCTCACACAGGGGACGTCCCATGCAAGTTGGACACTGCTTTCCCTGGGCCTGGTCTTGGGCCTTGGCCTTCTTCACCACGAGGCTGCTCAAGCTGGGCCATGCTCTTATTCACCCACAAGCCTCCTCCCTCCCTTGGGGCAGCCGCGTGGCACTGATGGTGGTGCAGGAACCCCACCTACTTTCGTGTCGGTGTTTTCCACCTCCAGATGTTGACCACACAAACTGGGGCTGGAGGTAAATCAGGACTAAAGGTGAAAGCATTTACAACTTTTATTGTCTCTGTGACAAGAGTGACGTCAGGGTCGCCGTGCTCCACCCTGCTGCCTCTTTTTCTGTGCCAAGTTGTTTTCTTGCACCCTTCTATTCTCGCCCGCCACGTCGTGGGTGTTATGAATTTTTATAGGGAGGCTACCGTCAGTCCTCTTGGTAATGGCTCCTGTCTGTGGGTGTCCCAGGCACCCAAGCCTTAAGGGCTACGTGTGGCTCCTACCACGCCAATACCATGCCCCAAGCCTCGCAGATGTAAAAGGGATGTTGCGCTCTCTCTTCCCTCTCAGGCCTTCTCCGTACGCTGCCCGGTCTCTCGGCCCTTCGCTGCCATGCTGCCCTCTCACCGGGCTCTTCTCTGGAGCTGGGGTCTGTACCCCCGACCCACGCGCCCCCACTAGGCTGGGGTCCTCACTCTGCCATGAGTCCCCTATGAGGCCTCCTCCATCTCCTTATAGCCTCACCCAAACCGCCGGTGTAAACAAACACAGCAAACACAAGCCCCTGGGCCATAACTGAACTTAACGCCGCCCGACTGTAATCACGTGACTAAAATGTCCCCGAGCTGCCCTCCTTAACCCGGCTTTGAGCCTGCAGTTCTCACATCCTTGCGCAGGAAGCTCTTTCTGCCTTGGCTGCTGGTAGGGAAGTGCCTCTGCTTCCTGCCGGCGCTTTATATATACGGGCCCGGCCCCGCCCCTTCCTTCAGCCAGCCGGTGTAGGCCATTAGCTCCCTTTGGTTGCCTTGGCAACCGGCACCTGAAGAGTCTTCCAGGCTCTCTCACTAGCAGCACCATAGTGTCCTAGGCTCACCTAGAAGTGCTCTGTGTTTCCAATTATTAGGTAGTAGATTGACAAGCTTCCCATGTTGTTTCCATTGTATTTGTCCTTGCTACCTCCCCACAAAGGATGAACAACCACTTTCAACAGGAATCGACGGGTTTCACCCAGGGACTCTCCACAGAGCAACAGACCGTCAGAGCCATTTACAGAAAGGAAACATCCAGCTCTTGCTCTAGTCCAGGGGTCACCAACTCCTGGCACGTGTGCTGAGCAGGGTATGCGAGGCTGCTCTCACACCACCCCCAGCAGTTATACCCCTCCTCCTCATACCCCTCCTCATATTTGACATAAATAGGCTAGGTTAAGAGTCTACAAACAACTGCTTATAATCAATTCACTACCAATTTTTGAGGTTATTAATGACCCCCATAGACCAAGGCTTATATCGAGAAGGCCATTTTGATATCCAGGAAAATGGATTCAGCAATGGAAGACAATTGACATCATTAATGAATTTCTTATCATGGACCTCACATCTAAACCTCCTGGTTCCCTTTTCCTAAGGCAGAGCTGGACTACATTGAACAAGGCTCATAGTTGAACACTACCTATTTTTAAATAGAATTGTTTTTAAGCTCCCAAGTATCAGTGTGACATCTTGTACCATCTATACTTTCCCCAGAGCCAGGGACTCTGCTCCTCAAAGCTTGCAAAAAAGGACAATTTTCTTGCGATTTCCCAGTCGGTCTAATAAAAGGTATCATTTTGGAACCAAGAGTTCTAGTTTTTTATATGTCTTCTTGTCTCAGACCAACACGGCTACCAAGGACACTCCTCAAAGGTCTATTTGAATTGCTTTTTCTTAACTCCTCCACTGTTCTTGGCTGGCTTCTTGCCACCAGAGTTTTCTCCCTATGCCTGCAAATTTCCACCCTTCTCCCACCCACAGACTAAGCTGGCTTATATAGCTTGTGTCATAATGCACTTTGTGGGAAATCTAGACAAATATATAAAATCAGGGAATTATATGAGCATAAAGTGTGTCCTTATTGCCCAGAAGCCTAATGGCATCCTGGGCTGCATTGGTAGGAGCACTGCCAGCAGATCAAGGGCAGTGATTTTTTGCCCTCTATTTGGCACTGCTGAGGCCACATCTGGAGTCTCGTATCCGGTTTTGGGCCCCCCGCTACAGAAAGGATGTGGACAAGTTGAAGAGAGTCCAGCAGAGAGCAACCAAATGTTTCAGGGAGTGGGGAACATGACTTGTGAGGAGAGGATGAGAGAACTGGGCTTATTTAGTCTGGACAAGAGAAGGGATTTGATAGCAGCCTTCAACTCCCTGAAGAGTGGCTCCAAAGAGGATGGACCTGGGCTGTTCTCCGTGGGGCAGATGACAGGACAAGGAGCAATGGGCTCCAATTGCAGCAAGGGACACTGAGGTTGGATACCAGGAAAAACTCTCTCACTAGGAGGGTGATGAGGCACTGGAACAAGTTACCCAGAGAGGTTGTGGGATCTCTGTCCTTGGAGGTTTTTAAGACCCGAGTAGATAAAGTCTTGTCTGAGATGAGATGTTTGTGGTTCATCCTGCTTTGAGCAGGGGGTTGGACTCATTGTGACCGCCTGAGGTCCCTCCAACCCTCCTTGTCTGTGATACCATGATAAATGCACTCACATACAGGGCCATCACAGACACCATGGCTTTTTGCATGCCAGAAGTGGCCGGGCACTTTATAACTTCAGGCCTGTCCCATGGAACAAGGAGCTCTTTGTTACGAATTGGAAGGTAGATACAGCTCATTGCAGGACAGGGGTAGCAGTTGTGGTTGCCTGTGCAAGGGGCTTGGAGCTGCTGGCTCCTGCGACTGACTTCAGTGCTGTTCGATTGTAGAGTCGTAGGAGTCCAGGAGGAAGGGACCTGATACACGCACAGACAGGACCCAGGGGTTTGGGCCACACACACACACAAAGTCAGCCGAGGGCTGGACGTTGCTGGTGGGGAAGATGTGGTCCTGTCTAGACCCAGTTTCCAGTCTCTGCTCCTTCGTCCCATCTGGGAAAAAACATTGGCGACTCTGTGTCCACCTGTCTGTCATGCAGACGATTGGTGAATGGGTGTCCACTGGTTATAACCAGCATCAGGGGCTCCCCAGGGCTGTGTGTCTGTCTATCTGCACTGCCCTGATTCCCAAGCCCTGGCAGAGACACACACTTCTGTACAGCCGATACCCAGCCACAACCACAGCCAGCATGAAAACTATGGGGACTACGCCCCACCAGAGGGAACCCCCTGGACTGCAAACCAGTAACCTCAACCAAAAGCGGGAACCCAGTGGTTACTTGGAAGCTTCACCTTCTGCCCCAGAGGAGCGCTCAATTGCCCCGAGGAGGAGCAAGCCTCACCCCACTACTTACCTTGGTCTCTGGTGGCAATGCGGGAGGCAGATCCGTGTCCACACAGGGTTGGCGGGAGAGAGGAGGAGTCTGGAAGGAGACACAAGAGAAGGAGGTGTCGGGATGGTCTGGGGTGATGGAGGCTGTAGAATAACATCATAGCATCAGAGAGGCATGAGGCCGGAAGGGACCTCCAGAGCTCAAAGCATCATACTCAGAGAGAAGTTGGTTGGGAGGAGAGCACCAGAGCTCACGGCATAATAGTCACAGAATTCTAGAAAAGTGGGCAAACTAGACAGAAACAGTCAAAAGTGTGTGTTTTATCATCAGTCCCATCGTCATTCTGGGGAGAAGTGGGCACGCTAGAGGAGAGGGA